TCTGTGGGCCGTGTGTGTCCATTGTGGGTTTTCCAAGGCTGGGAGTTGAGGTCGCCGCGCCAGATTTTGGGGTGACAGCCCTGGATTCCTCCGGCCGGCTGTGCCTTTCAGATTATGCAGAGAACTTAAACTGCAGCTGACCGGTGGAGAGCCTCCCCTGGGGCCGCTGGGTCGGGTGGGGTCGTTGGTGCTTGACTCCTTTTCGTGTCTTTTCTTGGAACCCAGGGCTGCATGCTCGCGGCCACGTAGACTTTGCAGCACGCTGTGGCTTCCCCCCAGATTGTGCAGAGCGGGCCTCGGGGGCGTGATGCCTCGGGGGCAGCAAAGCCTGCGGGGGTGAGGGGCTCAGCCAACCTTTCCAGGCCGCGCTTGCAGGCACGCCAGAGCTGTGTGCAGGGCCGGGGTCGCGGGACGGGTCTGCCGTTTTCAGGTGCAGCATTGTAAGAAGTGTGCATGCAGAAGTGGGTCTTTGGCCTGCCTTTGGGGGGGGGGGGCTCCAGTTTAGAGCGATGTGCAGGCCCCTACCCCACACAGGCAGACAGTGTTTGTCAGCAGGGGTCGTCCCACATCCTGCCACCTGGCCTCTCAGGAAAGCAGTGGTATTAAGTAAGGAAGGAGCTCAGCTCTCTTTGAGACCGCTTTGTTTTCAGTTCTCCCTACCTCTGATCTTTCCTTGGAAAGCCCGTCTGCTCAGGTGTCTCAGGGCAGCATTTTGGGAGAACCACTGTTCATTAAAGAGCCCTCTGGGCCACAGCCCTCATGGCCCAAGTTATTGAGCAGCCAGTTACTGTTCCTTTCTCATTGACTAAGGTGCTTCTTTCATTCTTGCAAATTTTTTGTACAATTTTTGAATATTCGGAGGGGTACTTTCCAAAAATTCCATAAGGTATTTGTTGATAGAAAGTGAGGTAACAGAAATGTAAAAGAAATGTTAAGGAATGTTAAGGGTAATATTGTATGTCTTTGCTTAAGGACAGTGCAGTCATAGGTCAGAAAAATTTATTCTTTAACCTTGAGTATGGAGAAGTCCATGTACTGGAAACTTGGACAGTGGGTCTTGATTTAAGGAGGCAATTCTGGAGGCTGTGCAAGGCTAAACCTATGAATGAGATGACACTGGGCTATCAAATATTGACATTTGCATGTCTTGCATATGGCTTACAGCTCTCACTATTTAAAAGATCTTTAGGTTCAGGAGAAAATAATAGAAGAGCCAGAAGAGCAAAAGAGGCTCCACCTAGCTTGTTTAAAATCTTCTTATTGCTTGTGTGTTTCCATCTGGAGCAGCAGGCATTGCAACCACAGGTATGGTGGTGGGAGAATAGCAAGGGGCAGGTGTTGGAAGGCTAGGCTTCTAGGCAAAGCTCTGCCCTAGATGCTGAGGGACCAGAGGAGACCTGTACTTTGGTTGCCTTAGCTGCAGACTAGGGTGGTCACGTGATTTCAAGAGGGGGAGTAAGGTTGTCTTTGATTTTTAACCCCAGCATCAAGCACAGCCTTTAGTAGATGGATAGACAGTGCTTGTTGAGTGATGGACAGATGAATGAATGACATCTTGAAAGAGACTTTTGCCATGTCACAAAGAGGAAGTGTATGTGATTTTTTATCCTTTCATTGTGTCTGTGGTCCTGCTATAATTTTGCCCAATTCTACCTGCAGAGAATGGTTGACATCATAGGTTGACCCAGAGAATGACATCTCCCAGGCCTCATCTGGCAATCAGGCTAGGAATTCTGATCCAAACTACCACCAGAAAACTCAGAAGCAACCTTGGGGTCATCTAGTCCGACTCTCTTTTTTGAGTGGGCCACAGAATTTAGACCACCTTATCGATGGCTTTAAGAGAGCCTAGATCCACCCAGGAATGGCTTCCCTAATATCTGTGTTTCTTCCCCCTCTTACATTGATTTAGCTTCTTTCTCAACTAGAGGCTTGCCCTGCCTGGCAAATAGTTTGATGCATCAGTGGGATTCACATTTGCTATGAAAATTTCTAGGGACTCTCTTTATTGTCTGAACCATCTTTGTCTTCATCTTGGAAACTAAGGTGTATGGCGAGGCACCCTACTAAGGGCCAGTGAATGAGAGCTGGCTCTCCATGCTGCGGAGATACCCCACCTTAGGTCAGTTCACATCATTCCACACTGTTGGCGTGGGTTGTGGATGCTGGGGTTTGCCCCCTCTCCTCTTTCATGTCTCCTGAGTGGCCCCTGGCTGAAATTTCTTTTCTCATCTGCTTCCAGACTTTCATTTCCTTCCACCTGTTGATTATGTTTGAAGATTTCAGGGTGAAGACAGGGTAGGAAATGCACCTGAGTGTTGGGACCTGGAGGATGACAATAAAATTTGGTTGGCAGGTGCCTTGAAGTAATTGCGCTCCAATGCCTGTTCTTGGAAGTGTAGAATTTATTATTCTATTATTGTGATTATTTTATTTCTTTATCTGATGTTTAAAGTTCAGCAGACAGGTTTGGAAAGACTGCTGATCACTTGCTCTTAAAATTACAAAATTATCTTGCTGGACGTAGGCTTTTTTGTAGGTTATACAACATTCAGTTTTAACTCTTTACAAATATTATAATAAATTTATAAATAAGCTTTTGGTAAATATTTCTCTTTGCGTCTAAAGAGGAAACTCCAGGCAGATGCCTAGGAGACAGCATGAAATTGCAGGATTTTTCACAAAATATTTACTGTCTTTCCAGTACAGGGTTATTCCCCTCCTCCTCAGTACCCACTCTCCACCTTCCTTCTCTTGTTTAGACTAATCTTTAAAAGTGATGTAATTTAAAAGAGTCCAGTGTGAGTTCATCTTTGGGGCCAGCTAGTATCCTGGGAGTCAAGGTGACTAAGATCTTTTGCCTACAGATTAGGGTAATGACAAGATCAAACACTGGGGTTTCCTGCAGCAGGTATATAGGAGTAGTATCAAAGTCGGGCTAACGGAATGGGTTTTTTCCCTCCTCTTCAGGTGTTGTGGAACAACACGATGGCTGAACAACTCCTTCCTCAGGCTTTGTATTTGAGCAATATGCGGAAAGCTGTGAAGATCAGAGAGAGAACTCCAGAAGACATTTTTAAACCTACCAATGGAATCATTCATCATTTTAAATCCATGCACCGATACACGCTGGAAATGTTCAGGACTTGCCAGTTTTATCCACAATTTCGGGAGATCATCCACAAAGCTCTCATAGACAGAAACATCCAGGCCTCCCTGGAAAGTCAGAAGAAGCTCAACTGGTGTAGAGAAGTCAGGAAACTTGTGGCTCTCAAGACAAATGGTAAGACATTCTTTTGTCTAGGGGTGGCTTCCACAGTGCTGGGTCCCCATTCATTAAATTTTAATAGCTATAGCCCAAAGCAAATCTCATGAGGCCATTAACACCTTCGTATAGAAACTCAGTGGGGGCATGTGATGAAAGCAAACTTGTTCTGTGAATGTTTTTATTAAGGATATTTTCTAGTTGTGTATATTGGAGAGCAGAGTGTGTTGAGGCTTGGGGAATGCATTTCTAAACACCATGCCTCTGTTAGGTGACTTATGCATCTAATTCTTGTGATTGTTTAATCATCTGTGAAATTCCCTTCCAGTAATGGAAGTATTAAAAGGCTTTAGTTCAAAAGGAAAGCATGGTGTGAAAGCTGATATTACTATTGTTTCCTGCTGTCATTAGAAAATGCTTGTGGTGATGGCCTTATACTTTCCTGACTTGATGGCATTTTATGGGTTAACCAGTGATTGGCTGTTGAGGACAAGAGGGGCTTCTGTTGTCTGCTCTTCCCTTATCTAGGTTCTGTTGCTTATGCTCCCATGAAATGAACTAGAGAGATATTTTAGATTTTTAGCACCGATTTTAGACCTCTACTTTATTACTTTTGGGGGTAGTACTGAATTTCTTGCAGGCTGTGCCTATCTGCCCAATAGACCTTTATCACTAGTAGCTGTTTCCTGTTATGAGTTTTACCGTTTGGTTTCTTAATTATTTTCTTTGAGTAAGAGTATGCACATCTCAGAAACATCCAAGCATACTGTTTCGTACAGATACAAAATTCTACTTTATAGATGTAGCTTATCGTTACACAAAGCAAGTAGACTGTCTAAGATCAATTAAATGCTTATAGGTTAGGTAAAGGCAGGACTCTCAGGTCCTTAGATCAGTGACAGTCCTAAACCATCCCAATCAAATAATACATTCATCCAAGTGCAGAAAGTCCTGGTGGACAATGAAATGATAAAAATATTAAGTTACTTAATTGGTATATTAACTTTGACCATGTTTGACTGGGATAACTTGGTGTGTGACTGAGGACGTATTTTTTTTGCTTTGGTCCTAGGGGGGCCATCTCCGTATCTGGCTTATATTTTTGAAGCAAAGATTCTTAGAAATAGAAAAAAACTGGGAGATAGCTAGTGTTTCCATTGTTCTTGGCATTAAATCAAGTGATGCATGGAAGTAGGTAATTATGTTAAGTCATCATGAAGGGCTTTATATTCCTGACAGCTTGTGGTTTTAACTCTTTCCCTTTTTGTTACAAATAAAGAGATGGAGTCAACTTTGGGAGAGTTGGAAACATATTCTGCCAACTTAGAAATGTGGTAGAAAGAGGAAAACTTTATTATCATGACCAGCATTAACTGACATTTTAGGTTTAACTTGCTCTGTTTCCGTAAGAAAAAAATGGAATATAAAGAGTAAACATTTGTTTTGCAAAGATTTATCATTTAAATCTATATGGATTCACCCTACAAAGAAAACTACAAAAGGGGGTGCATTTTGATAAAATTTTTTGGAAATAAGGATTTTTTAGGCTCAGAATCCTTTTATTTCCCCACTCTCAAGAAAATATCTTAAAATTCTGGAAAAGGAAGAAAAGATATTTAGGGGAAGAGGAAAGAAAATGACTTTTCCTCTCTGATTTTTATTAGCACCTTTTTTTTTTTTTTTGAGCCTTCCCCCTATAGGTGGGTTCTACAGTCAATGGTCTGGGGAGGGGGTGATTCACAAGTTTACATTTGAGGATATGAGACTGTGGTGAATGAGGAAGGGAGTAGGTGGCATAAAGTTGAAACTTCATGTGAAAAATTCCAGCGTCTATTGGCTGCAGCGATTTCACTTGTATAATGAGTAGCCCTATTCCAGCTCACCCTGACCACACCCACTTGGAAAGTCCAGGGTGCACTTCGCAGTTTAAATGTCTACACACCAGAACAAAAAGTACAATAGCTGTTGCTCAATTGCTAGTCAAATAACTTAGCACTGGGGAATTCCAGATGTTACTTAGGGAATTTCATACTGGTGCATCTCAATAAAGAACTGAAAGTAAGCACAAGAAGAAGAAAAAAAGCCTTATCTTTGCTCTAGATTTTGCAAAGGGGAAATTTCAACAGAATGCAATCGTTGCCACACTTCTGCCAAGACAGAGGCTTGGGCGATCATGTTTGTTCATTTGTCTGAATATTTTTGTAGCTAGTTTTTTGAAGTGTGTAAATTGAAAGGATATTGGCTGTGGATATGTATTTCAGGGTTTTTGTTGTTGTTTTTACAGTTTGACTATAATTAAAATTTGATAAAATATCAAAGAGCTTTGTTGCCCTACTTATAGAAAGGAAAGAGTTGAACTTTTGTTTTTAAAAACCATTGCGCACTTGCCAAAAGAGATTAAGGAACTAACTTGTTGTGGTTTTTAAACATTCTCCCAAGATGTTTATGTTTGGAGTTTGGAAAAAGTGCAGTCTCTTAAATTGTGGATTTTAATCTATAAAAGTAACAGATTAATGGAATAAAATTAAATCTATCTTTTGCTCAAACTGCTCAAAATTCTTAAACTTCCAGCCCTAAACACTGAATTATTTTCAAATGTAGGCTAAGAGAGTAACCCAGGCACTCTTTAACTTTTCAAAAGGACTGTGCAATTTCTAACAAGCACATTCACATAAAGCATTTCAGTGTGGATGAAATAATTATCAGTGACAGTAGCTAATTCGCTGTTCTCAATCCCGCTCTACAAAGCAGGAGAGGAAACTCCCAGGCCCCAAAGGCTACAGTGGAATGGTCAAGTCATTTACCACTGAGTCATAGCCAGACTGTCCCTGTCTAGTGAATGGAGACAAGTGGCTTCCTGGTTTGTGCACATTGCCCTATGTGTACTCTGCTAGAGTCAGAAGGCAATAAATAGTGCCCATGTCTTAGGCAGAACATCAAGGGACATTAGAAAAGGGACAGCCTTTAGAGATCATTCGAGGGATTATTCCAATCCCCTCATTTCACAAAGAGGAAAAAGACTCAGGTTAAGGAATTTCCCCCCAGGTGGCCTAAATGAGTTGGGGCAGAGCCGGGCTGGAACCAAGGTCCAGTGATGATCTTTCCCTGGCTCCTTTGCTCTTTTGGTATTAGTCATTAAAAATAAGGATATTTTTTCCTGTCATCACCTGTGCAATGTTATCAGTTGGTCCTTTGACTAGGAAAGTAACCTGTTTGCATTTCTGCATGCTCTGTTGGGTCTCCCAGGATAGCACTAGGGCTCCTTGATTCTGAGACCCTTTGCTAGGTTTGGGTGTGGATTGCTTGAGTTTGCTTCCCTTGTATCCTCAGGTGATGGAAACTGCCTCATGCATGCTGCTTCTCAGTACATGTGGGGTGTTCAGGACACAGACTTGGTCCTGAGGAAGGCTCTCTTCAGCACTCTCAAGGAGACGGACACACGCAACTTTAAATTCCGCTGGCAGCTGGAGTCTCTGAAATCTCAGGAGTTTGTGGAAACGGGGCTTTGCTATGACACCCGGGTATGTTTTGTTACCCCCTTAAGCATCTAGTGACAGAGCTCCACGGTGGGGAAAAGGGTACCTTAGGCCAGCCGCTGCTCTCAAAAGCATATGATTTATTAGGTCACATGAAGTTGGCTAAGCAAAGCATGGTCAATGGAAAATGCCAGAAACCTCCTGTGGGATGAACCGAGACTTTTGTCACTGCTGAGAGGCTTTAGGGCAGCAGATTCCCAACTGTGTATCTCTTGATTTTAGCTTGATCATTCAGATCCTGGCCCTCCCTGTGGCGTTTTAGCTGTTTCTCAGTTTGATTGTCCTTTGCATACTTTACTGAGTCAGCCAGTCAAATTCAGACCTCACCATTCTCAGTCACAAGTTTGGAATTTTTGTGTACACTTGGACAAGGGGCTTCAGTGTGATGCCTCATCAGGGATTTTTCTGAAAGCAGGTGCTGTCCCCGTGGTCCTCCCCCACTTTTGAGTTTGCCTTGTAGTGGAAAAAAGTAAAGGAAGAAAACCAAAATGGGGAAAAAAGGGTGATCATTTGAATGATGATTTCCAGAAAGGGGAAAAGCAAGCTGAGTTATATAAATGAATAACCATAGACTGTGTCAGAGTGATTTTTTTAATGCCGAGTACATTTAAGCATTTCCCCCTCTTTATTCCTTCTCCCTTAGAACTGGACTGATGAATGGGACAACCTCATCAAAATGGCATCCACAGACACACCAGGGACCCGAGGCAGCCTTCAGTATAATTCACTGGAAGAAATACATATATTTGTCCTTTGCAACATCCTCAGAAGGCCAATCATTGTCATTTCAGGTGAGATGCCTGCAGATTGCTTATTTGTATGTTAAGGGCTTTTCAGCCTTAATGCTTTCGCTCTTAGGAAAAAACCCATGCTGCCAAAGTTACAGGCAACAGTAGCTAAAAGGAATTTGATGAAAGTCACCAGAGGGCCTTATTTTTTTTCTTTCTCTTCCCTTCAACAGACAAAATGCTAAGAAGTTTGGAATCAGGTTCCAATTTCGCTCCTTTGAAGGTGGGCGGAATTTATCTGCCACTCCATTGGCCTGTCCAGGACTGCTACAGATACCCCATTGTTCTCGGCTACGACAGCCAACACTTTGTGCCCCTGGTGACCATGAAGGACAGTGGGCCTGGTGAGAAAACTGAGCATTCATTCACATTTGTAAATATTGGTAGATAGCGGTACACCCTGTTCCAGCTGAGTGTCAAGGTTTGCTCTTTTGCTCCTTACTGAAATAGTCTCATCGAAGTGTATTATTTTAATTTAAATACAGTATTCTGTCATTTGCTTGGCTAACAACAGTAATGCAATAGCAGTAATCATGATATCCCTTACCTTTTGTGTATGGCTTCAGAATTACTTTCAGCATGTTAGTTGTAAGTAGGAGATACATGTATACATCTTGCTACTACGATTTCTATTAATAAATGACCAATTAAGGCACACAGATCCCTTAATACAGTGCCTGGCATGGAACAGGAAACATATAAATAGCTTAATGTGCAACAGGCACTTTGTAAGTGCTTTAGGTATAGTAGTTTATTTCATTTCATCCTCCCAGCATCTCTATGGGCTGTAAGCATTAATAGGCTTATTTTATAATTGAGGCACTTGAAGCTCAGAGAAGGTAAATAACTTGCCTAATGTCACAGAACTTGATAGTGGCAGAGTCAGCATTCAAACTCCGGTCAGTCTGATTCTGAAGTGTGGGAATTTAACCAACGAGATTCACTGCCTCCAGGCTGCTTTATATTTCTGTGAGCTTCCTGGAAACAATGCATTTTATATTAGCGTTTAGCAGAGTTTCTTTCCCCGTTTGAGTTTGTGGCTAGATAATAGTTTTCCACTCTGTAATTGTAGCCTTTCTGCATTTTCAAATTTTAATCATTATGTGTATAGCTTCACCCATCTCATTTAGTAGAATTATATTTGACTTATGTGTTATTTTTTCCCCCTCAGAAATCCGAGCTGTTCCACTTGTTAACAGAGAACGAGGAAGATTTGAAGACTTAAAAGTTCACTTTTTGACAGATCTTGAAAGCGAGATGAAGGAGAAGCTCCTGAAAGAGTACTTGATGGTGATAGAAATCCCGGTCCAAGGCTGGGACCATGGCACCACCCATTTGATTAATGCTGCAAAGTAAGCACTTTATTTTTACCTCTATCCTCTGTCCTCTTTAATCGTTTTTAATTCAGCCACATAAGCTGCTGCCACCCCAAAGCTCAACAGTAAAGCTTTTGAATTCAGTTTCCTCCAGTGTGAAATAAACTCAGAGGCTTGCCTGAGTCAGAGTCTTGCCCGAGACATTGCTAACTTTGGTTTCAAATGAGAACAAGTAATTTACCCATAGTGATTTTCATATGTATCTGGATGCTGAGAGTCAGAATTGTGGCTTTCAAAAGTTTGTTTACATCAAGAATGGTTGTTTTTCTTAATTTCTCTAGTACTAAACTAGCAAGTAAAAAGTCTTAGAAACAAAAGCCTTTTTTTCTTGGTTTCTTGGTAAGGACAGACACAGCAGACACAGACTGGGAGGTAGAATATGTTTATGTAGCAGCCACGTGATTTCACAAGGAAAGGGAGGAGACACCAGAGTGCACATAGTACAGGTATCCAAATGTTAAACACTGGCTTTATTTAAAGAGATGCCTATTCTTAGAACTTAAAATGCACAAGAGATACCTCCAAAGACATAAGAGAATTCATTTCCCAGAGTGGAGAGTAACAAATTACAGAGAGTGAATAAATAACATGTAGAAGTAGGTCTGCCTCTTGGTTACTGCTCATGGCCATTAACTCTGACAGAAACCAGGCACCAGTTTAATAATAGCAAAGTATAGAACACAAAGTTCCAAAGTAGTTTTTATCATAAAGTAGACTAGTCCCAAAAGAACACCTGAGTAATCTCTTACTAGAAATTTGATCTCTGAGAAGTTAGAAAGTAAAAGTGACTTTAAAAAGAGGCATAGAGCCATTAAGTGTAGCAGCAGCCTTGGAATGGCCGTTTCTTTAGAGTTATTTGTAATTTGGGGTGGACCAAGATTGATTCAAGAAGACTGATTCTTGAAATCATGAAGCACTGGACTGTGTAATGCTGGAAGTGCAAACTCCTCATGATGGGCTTGCATTTCAATCACTGGTTCCAGAATCCACATTCTAAAAGCTTGCTCTTATGAGCTGTTGCCCTACAGGTGTGTGTGTGTTTGTGTGTGTGTATGAATGAAGGCTCATGTTTTTCCTTTTGGTCTTTAGGTTGGATGAAGCTAACTTACCAAAGGAAATTAACCTGGTAGATGATTACTTTGAACTTGTCCAGCACGAGTACAAGAAGTGGCAGGAGAACAGCGAGCAGGGGCGGAGAGAACGGCATGCTCATCCTGCTCTGGAACCCTCTGTTCCCCAGCTCTCTCTCATGGACGTAAAATGTGAAACACCCAACTGTCCTTTCTTCATGTCTGTGAACACCCAGCCCCTATGCCATGAATGTGCAGAGAGGCGGCAAAAGAACCAGAACAAATCCCCAAAGCTGAACTCCAAGCCAGGCCCTGATGTGGTGCTTGGAGCCTCTCGGGGTGAGGCCTATGAGCCCACAGCCTGGAGCCCTGAGGAGCCATCTGGGGGGCCTCATTCGGCCCCTCCGACAGCACCCAGCCTTTTTCTGTTCAGCGAGACCACTGCGATGAAGTGCAGGAGCCCCGGCTGCCCTTTCACGCTGAACGTGCAGCACAACGGATTCTGTGAGCGCTGCCACAGTGCCCGGCAACTTAATGCGGGCCACACCTCGGACAAGTCGAGGCATTTAGATCCTGGTAAGTGCCGAGCCTGCCTCCAGGACGTCACCAGGACATTTAATGGGATCTGCAGTACTTGCTTCAAAAGGACTACGGCAGAGCCCTCCTCGAACCTCAGCTCTAGCATCCCTCCTTCCTGCCATCAGAGGTCCAAGTCAGACCCGGCTCAGCTCATCCGGAGTCTCTCCCCCCATTCTTGCCACAGAGCTGGGAGTGAGGCCCCCTCTGGCTGCCTCTCTCAGGCCGCACGGACTCCAGGCGACAGGACAGGGACAAGCAAGTGCAGGAAGGCTGGCTGCATCTATTTTGGGACTCCCGAAAACCAGGGCTTTTGCACACTGTGTTTCATCGAGTACAGAGAAAATAAACGTGAGTGAAATGATGGGTTTTCTAACCTGTTTTGAAACTCCTGTCTAGAAGGGATTTGTTCTTGACCTTCAAGAAAGGAGCCGCTCTGGGCAGTGGGGTAAAATGTCACACAGAGGGACAGTCACACTGGCTCTGCCAGCCACACATGGAAGCAAAAGGCATGGAATACCATGTTCCAAATGCATCCTGTAGGTAGAGTTTATAGAATTTGTTTCCATAGGTTGCTTGATGTTGTGTTTTTAAGAAAGAGTTTAAACAAGACTTTTCTGGAAACTTTGGTATAATAGAGAAAACTCGAAGTCTGAAGAGTAGCAGCTGGAGAGAGGGACGTCTCTACTGACAATATATGGTTTTAGAAATCACTAATTTGAAAGAAGGATGGGCAGTTAATGTGTCTCTGTTCTGTTTCTGTGCCTTACCAGTGGGACGTTCAAAAGTGAGAGATTTGTAAAGTCGAAGATGTTTCAATGATAGCATTATCATTTTTGTTTATTTTGCTGAATTTATAAAAGGCTGCTCCTGTGTAAATATTGAAGGCTAGCCTAGTCTGTATTCGGAACCTGTTTATTTCTCTCAAGTCATTGTTTCTCTCTACTTGGTGACCCATATGCAATACTGATTGGTGTCAACTCTCTTCCAGATTTTGTTGCTGCCTCGGGAAGAGTAAGTCCCTCAGCCTCCAGGTTCCAGAACGCAGTCCCCTGCCTGGGAAGGGAATGTGGCACGCTCGGAAGCACTGTGTTTGAAGGATACTGTCAAAAGTGTTTCATTGAAGCACAAAATCAGAGATTTCATGAAGCCAAAAGGACGGAAGAGCAACTGGTAAGACATTTTGAGGTGCTCCCCCCTCTCCTGTGGGCCAGTCCTCCTTGCTGGAGCTGCTACTATTGATTTACATGGTCGATGTATACCTTAGAATTCATTTTAAAAAGCAAATAAAATTAGCCATAGAATAAAATCTCTTAAAGCCTCCTAACGTCAGCTGGCAATCAGAGCTCTTGGAGTTGTAGTAGAAGCACAGACATCTAAGTGACCAGCAGACTTTCTTAAATAATCCTTTACCAAGAGGGGACAGGAGGAGGAGACACGGCATCCAGGTGCCTCCTGGATGGCAAACTTTGACAGATGCTTCTCCTATTGCTTACAGAACAGTAGGAATCTGTCTAAATAAGTAATGGTAGCTTACTCATCTAAACAGAAGTGAGCCGGGCCAGCATTTGCAGATCTCTGGGCTAGGATTGGGGCCTCCTTGGGTGTCCCTGGGCCAGGTCTGCTTTTGTGGGATGGAGAGGAAAGTGCTTGGAGAGCTCCTGCTCATGGACTGCACATGGACCTCTGTTCCCTTGCTCAGGCAGATGCTCTTCACCCCACAGAGCCCTTTGTAGCATCCCCACTGTCCTCTGAGATCGCACGGCGCTTTCCCTGAGAAATGTGAGCCACAGTTCTCTCTGCTCTTTTCCCTCAGAGAACCAGCCAGCTCAGAGATGTGCCTCGAGCCACGCAGAGCCCCTCCAGGCCCAAGTGTGCCCGGGCCTCTTGCAAGAACATTCTGGCCTGTCGCAGTGAGGAACTCTGCATGGAGTGCCAGCACCTCGGCCAGAGGGTCGGCCGGGGCGAGCCTGCTCCCGAAGAGCCCCCCAAACAGCGCTGCCGGGCCCCCGCCTGCGATCACTTTGGCAACGCCAAGTGCAACGGCTACTGTAACGAGTGCTTTCAGTTCAAGCAGATGTACGGCTAATGCGAGCAGGTGAGCCAGCCCCGGCTGTTAGCCAACATGGTGCTATTCTCTAAACACACTGGTGCCACCGGAGAAGCGGTCCCTGCATCAGTGAGCTCAGGGTTGTCTTTGCGCAGGAGAGGAAAGATAAAGCTCTTGGTCGTGGCCTTGAATTCGGTAACCGGGGAACATTCCCAGGTGTCCTTGCAGCACAGCTTGTGACTGGCAGCAGATGGTGTCGCATTCAGTTTGGGGCTCCTCCTCCTCCAAGCAGAAGGCCAGGAACTTTATGTCCAGGACTGCTTCATCATCTTTCAAGAAAAGGGACAGGGCATAGCCAGAGCCACTCCGCCTGCCTTCATCGACATTGCTCAGCAGCGGGAAGCTGAGTCCTTGTGGCCCACAGGCCCCCTGCAAGAAGGTCGGGAAGCTCAGGGAAAATGGACATTTTCTGTGTCAGTCGTTCATGACTTTTCCCTACCTGCCTCATTCCTTTCCCAAGGACTGTGATTCTGAGGCTGCTGAGACTAAATTCATACTGTAAAGCATCCAGCTGCTCTTTACCATAGGCACCTTGCAAAAATCAGAATATTTTAGTGGGAAGATGTGTGACTCTTGGTTATCATAGTCTTCACTTCTAAACAGGCTATCTTCAACTGAGATGTGCATAAAACGTGTACATATATAATATGCCCTTGTGTATGAGGGATTTGTTTTTATTGTGTTGAAATGCTGCCCTGGAGTAAGAAGACTGAACAGTAATAACCTGTTTTCTGGTTTTTATTGGAGCATCACCTATGTACAGCTTTCATGAACTCGACCTTGTCAAAGGACCTGTTTTTGGAGTTTACTTTATTTATTTTATTGCAAACTTTAAGGTTATTTAAATGAAGTTGTATCTTCTGCTCTGGGGAAAATGCTGTAGTGTCTTGAGATAACGTACTTGCTGTGGGTCACATTCTGGAGCCAGGCAAGTTCTTGACTGCAGTGGGGGAGTCGGCCGCTCTGAAGCACTTTCTTGCCTTTCTTAGGAAAGAAGGAATTGCATCAATATTATTAAAATCTCGTGCTTCTTAATGAAACTCTGGCCAGAGCCACTTCCCAGCCACAATATATAATTGTCTCTGACTATCCTACCTCCTTAGAGATACGATTGGAAAGGAGCAGGGATGGGATTGGGGAAGGTCACAGGGTCAGATACGGCCTTCAGTGATGGTTTTATTTGCTCTGTTCATGCTGTCCTGGGGAGCAGGGGCGTGACCTCCTGTCCGTATGAGGAAATCTCTATCCTCTGCCTGCAGTTTCTCTATGTGCTTTGTGTCATTGTCATTCTTGTTCTAGAAAAAAAAAAGTGGGGGAAACACATTGTCCCCGTCGGTAAAAGCTGCCAGTGTTTTCACCTACTTCTTTTAAAGTAGATATTTTAATATTTTGTGTATAAATATTCTCTTTCTTAATGTGAAAAATTGAATTATTTATACTTATTATAGAAAACGTTTGAAATTTGCACATTTAGTTGTCCTAATAGACTTCTGTTTACTCTGTTGGATTTATTAAAATTTTCCTAAATAATTGTAACTTTTCACAAAAAACAATATTAAAAAATAAATTATTTAAGAACAAATTTTGATGTTTTCTCTTTATGAATAATGAAAGAAAAAGGCCCAAATACTAATACCACGCCTCCCAAAAATCTTTATTTCAAGGTATATCTGGGCAGGGGATATATCTCTCACCCATGGGTAGTAAGAGAGCTTTGTAAAAATAATAACTGTGTGGGGGTAAGACATCTGGTTTAACAGCAGGACACTGAGGCCCCAATAGGAGTGGGAAAGGCCTGCCAGTGCCGATTCCCATGAAGTGCTAGGGCCTTATGTTCCTCTGAAGGTTCCTGCCCTAAACCTTAATAATGTGCAGAAAGAGCAAACAAGGGAGGAGACGAGAGATAGGAAGGAAAGAGAAATAGGACTGGAGGAAGGAAGACTGGTGTAGATTTCCTGGGTCAGACCTAAGAAGAGGTGACCTATGGCTGTGATGGCTCTGAGGACTGGCAGCATCAGTGTCCTGGGAAATTATAAAGTGACACATTCTTCTACCCAAGACAAATGTAGAGGATTGGCTCAGGAGGACTGGAAAGCTCCTAGACTCTTCCTTTTTCAAGTTCCCCCACAAAATTCTAATTATCATCCAGATTTTAAACCACACTTTTAAAAAAGCATAATATATATTTTTTAATTTATGGGATTTTTAAAAATTTTTTTATTTTTATTTATCTTTATTGTTGAGAGTATTACAGGTATACC